ATGGCAAGAAAATAACAGGACAGCTGTATCCAGAAGGCTGAGCTGACACCACCAATTCCCCGGGGCGTGAGAACCAGTGAGAGACAAGTCTACCTGGTTTTGAAGGAATAAAATACCAGATGAACTCCGCCTTGAAAATAACAAAATATATTCAATCTTATCCCATTTTCCCCACTCAGCTGAGCAACTGTCTGAAGTTCAAAATTACATATAATGTATATCTCTTACAGTAAATTTTGAGAATATAATGACTTGATTCATTTCCTGACCAAAAAAAGAAAGAAAAGAAAACCAGAAAGAAAATCAGGATGAACATGCCTTTGAAACACAGTATACAGTAAAATGTATCTAAGCCTGACAGAGTTGGTTTCTAAATGACTTTTTTCCCTACTCTTCTGTGTTGTGTTTTACACCCATTACTGAACACATATTTACATGTGTGCTTTCTAAATATAGCTGCATTTCTAATGACTCCTGCTTCGTAATTTTCAGTACACGCCACATCTTTTTTGGAAAACTACTTTTAAGGCATGTTGAGAACCACAAAATTACACCTCTTTACTATTCGAATGTATGCCACTGGAAAACATTTCATGCCGGACATAAATATGACAGCTCCAGCTATGGAAAGAGACGCTTCAGCTGTTCAAATCATGCGTGGCCAGATGCAGAGGATAAAGAATGCAAAATGGACAGTTGCAACTGCTAATTTTTACCAATCCATCCAAAATGTACCTCGTACACTTTAGCAGACAGTAGAAATCCCAAATACAAGCGATACATTTATAACCTCTATAAATGTATCCTCCCCCTAGCTATTTAAGTCATCCCCCCTAAAATATTTCTGGTTGGAAGAAAATTAATTTTAAAATAAAGATGCTTTTTTTAAAAGAGCTGGATGAGACATTCCAAAGTACTAGTAAAGTTTTTCTTTATTCTTCCTCTGCCCATTAAGGTTCGTTTTCTTCATACACATAAATATTTGATGTGACTCCTTTCTTAAAATGGGTTTGTGACAACTTTCCAAAATTCCTGAAAATTGTAAAATTTTGATAACTGGAGTCTAATGGTGGGTAGGGCCTTAACTGGGGGGGGGCAGAGGCCCCCCTTGCCCCACCCCAAGCTCACTTGTCCCTGGGACCAGAGAGAAACAAGGCCAGGGCTTGTATTGGAAAAATGCTGCCACCTCTGTGGCCCCTAGATCCGTTCAGATCCTTAAGAGAAACGGCTGCCAGCGCACTTTTGGCCAGTGAGGGGGAAGGGTGGTGCTGAGAGCCCCCGGGAGGGGCAGGGGGAGGGAGAAGAAAGGAACAGTCACACTGTCATCTCAGGCACCCAGCTCTAAGGAAACCCAAAAGTGGAAGAACCACTACTGCTCAAACTGGGCGACCTGAAGGGCAGCCCAGGGAGGCACCCACCCGGCCGCATCTCCATGTTCCTCTGTGCCTCTGATAGGCTCAGAGAGGCGCCTTCCAACCATCACCTAATTAGACTTCACAACAAGTCCACATCCTGACACTGCCATTCACTTGAAAAATGCAAATCCAAATGAGATGCAGTTCCCCAACGACAGAGTAAGGGCCTCTCTCCCAAGGCCCTGTGAGCTAAACACAGCCATAAAATTAGTCCTTCGCGTTTAGACATTAACAATTCTGGAGGCGAAGGTCAAAGTGCCAAATCATAAGCAGCCCAGGGATGCTGGTTAAGCAATAAATGCAAACACGAGAGAACGGAGAAGGAAAGTCCGGGCGGCTCCAGCCAGGCTCTGCCAGGAGGATGCAAACCCACATTGCTCTCTGCACTGCACTCAGAACCAGGGGGGTAACTGAACTTTCCCCAAGGCTTCTAGAACTTTGAGGGGGAAGGGTCAGGACAGGAAAGAGACGAATTTTTGAAAGAACTAATTGACTGCGTCAGAACAGCTTTATCCAAGTACTAAAATGCATCAACATTTACAGCAAGTAAGATGTCTGCTTTTGAAGAAAGAAAATGCTACTTCTAAGTTAAAATATTTATAATGCAGATACCTAACCAAATAAATTGAACTTCCTCCTGCTTTCTCCCATTAGTTATAGCACTTGTTAAACCCACGCTTATCTCTGATAAAGTTTAGCTGTCTCCACTTAAATTTGACCAATCAAAAATCAAAGAGAAAGTGAGTGTGTGTTCCTGCACCTTCTACAGCAATGCTTTCCTCAGGGAGCAATCTCCGTACATCATAAGCGAAATGCCACTTTTAATTTGATAATTAACACATGTCCTTTCCTCCTAGTTGAAAGTGGAATAAAAAACAAAATAGTGCAACGTCTCGAACATTTTAAGCAAGCGTAGTATAAAAGGAAAGTACACAGGTTCAGGCAAGCTCCCCCCTGCGGAACGTAATCAGCTTCTATTTCAGTTTCCTATTTCCATGGCATTAAGGTACACTGCAGCCGAGACTCCAAACACGATCTCCAGGCAGACTCACAGTCGGTCCCACCAAATTCTTTTTAAAAGATCCCTTCTGGTAAATTATGAGTAAGACCAATGCGTGCCCTGGAAAATGAATAAATAAAAATCCACAACAGTTACCCAATAAACTGAGTACTGGTTTTTCAAGAGCGATCCATGACTAAACTCTAATTAAATGGCTAGGTCACATATCATCTTCCCCATTTGGTAGGACTGAAAACCATCTGCTGGAGAACACACCTCACTTCAAAGTATTCTCTAGAGAAGTTTCCTTCCCTTTTCCACATACGTTACTAAACTTAATCACATCAAATGATTCATTTATAAAACTCAAATATCTCCTTGTGAAAGCGAGTAAGCGAAATGGAGTCGAAAGTTTCACTTATGGAAGTGGAGACGAAGTGCCTCTAACGTTGTGACCTGTTTTTGAAGACCTCTCTCATTCTGTTCACTCAGTTTCGGTCTCTGGGACAACATCTTATAAAACTAGAAATGTAGGGCTTCAGAGACTGGAAGGGGGGGCAGGAAGGGGAATCTTCAAACTAGTGGACTTTGAAGTTTTGTTTACAAAAAACAATGATAAAGCACCGATGATGTAAACTATCCTCAGGACATCAGCAATTAATATTAGATACATACACATTAGATATATAGACGTTAGATACATACATATTTCAGGGTATTAAGGCAGTTGGAAAGATTATTCTGATAAACAAACGCCTTCAGAGATTAAAAATAAGAGAACTCCTCCCATCTCTCTACCTATTGTTGAAATCTGTACCTACCCAACGTGCTACTTTGATGTTTTGTCTCATTTCTAGAAAGGCAGTCATTCCCGCGCCTCTTGGCTAGCTTTATTACAGAACCATTGGGGTTACTTTTTTTTCTGAGTATTGAGTGGGCTCTGCTGAATGTTTCAGTATATTCAAATTAGCAAGTGTAAGGAAACAAAGCCCTACTAATGAATTAAGAAAAACATTAGACACGCTTGTGTCTTAACACAGCAAAACTCTAATTCCATTACCAAAAAATACTTGGGAGTCTCACACAGAGCTCGGTTCGTCCTAGGGCCCATTGAAGGCAGCCACGGGGGTCACTCTGGTGAAACCAAAGATGTCCTCCTCCGGTAACCAACTCTGCAGCCGGACGCAGAGGCGGCTCGGCCCAACTCTCGGGTTTTGCTAATGTGGGGGGGGGTGTCTCGGATTCAAGCGCAATAGTGGTATGTGATATGTTTAATTCTGGCTGCTCTATGTAAATATAAATAACACAGTTACTTTGACGACATAATCAAAGAATGCAAGAGAAAATGAAGGAGGAACAAATGATAAAGTGAACTGCTTTTTTTTTTTACATGGCAGCAGCCAGCAACCTATCAAATGGCATGCACGCCTAGTTCCTTAAAGTAACACATCCCCAAACCAAAATACTTCAATCCTATCAATGCACGGTTTTAAAAATATCTGGAAAAAGGTCCTTTTTGGGGGGCTATCCAACCCTTGTTTCTACTCTGGCCAATATTTTAACAGTGTTTCACAAAGCCAACTGGTACATCAGCCTATCTTTAAATCACCTTTAATCAAGATTGGAGACTTAACAGCACAGCACGTTCTGCCTCGGGAAATGTCCACTTTTCGGTCGTGGTTATTAGGTGAAGGCTGTGTCTCGGCTCTACAAGTGCCTTTTGTGTCATTTGCTCTAGGCATAAAGTCTGCCTCATTCATGGAGAAAAGATGTGCACAAGAATACCCACGATCTGTCCAAGCCGAAGCTCGCCTGTATCCTTATATGTACGCACGGCGGCCACACCACCTGCAGAAGGCCTCAACTCCGTCCACAACGTCGCCACCAGGAGCAATCTGGGCTTCTAGAAACAGTCCGCAGGTAGTCTTTCCGTCTCTACTCTCCTCTCTTCTCGGACCGCGGCGCAGTTCTCCAACCGAGCAGGCACCGTGCAAACCAGACGCAGCGCTCGCTCCCCAGGGAGGAGAAGTGCCCCGCAAACTCAAATTCCTGCCCCCTCCAGCCACCGCCGCCCGGCACGGCCGGAATCCCAACACTCCTCACGCGTGCTGAGTCCTTCATCGTACTCTGGCCTCTTCTGTCAGGAGGCACACAGCTACTGTCCAGCCCTCCACCACCTGTCCGCCCGACATATAAAGTGAAGTTGACATAGGATAGACTAATATTATATACCTGGCATACAGCGCGCCCGGCCCCGGTTCCTCAAGCCCTGGGTCCACGCCGGCACGCGCAGACGCCCAGCCCAAGGATCTCTTCGCGCTCTCCGCCCGGCCCAGCCCCGCGGACCGCCGCCTTGGTCACGTACCCTGCGCCCCACCCTGCGGCCAGGCCCATAACCCCGAAACCCACCGGGGACACCCCCGTCCGCGCCGCCGCCACGCTGCAGCTGCTCTCACACGCCGGACTCTGCTCCCTACAGTACCCCAAGAATCCCGCACGTCCGAAGCCCCGTCCAACCGCTTCTCCCAATCCCCGCCGCTCGCTCGCCTCCCGCCCGCGCCCACCCCCACCCGGCCCGCACAGACCCCCGCCTTTGTTGTGGTGCGAAGTTGGGCAGAGGGTCCCCGTCTCTTTCACTTCTTGGGTTACAGTGCAGGCCTGTGACGTCCGCTCCACATGACGGGGGGCCGGCGCCGAGGGGCGGGGCGGCGGGCCAGGCCCTCCCCCACCTCTCCGCCCCTTCCCGCCCCGCCCACAGCCCTCCTCCCGCGAGCCCAGCAACAAGCGGCCGCCGCCCCCGCCCGGGGCGCGAGGTAAAGCCCCGCCCCGGCCCGCCCCCCGCCTCTCACGCCCGCCCCTCTCCGCCACCGCCCAACCCCTCGCCCCCAAGGACACACACCCCGCGCCCCGCAGCAGCGCGCAGCCCCAGAGTCGCCGCAGCCAAGGGACAGAAATAGGAATGATTCAATCCAACGGCGCCTCCCGAGGCGGCCCCTGCCTGCTGCCGCGAGCTCGTGGAGCTGGGGGTCGCGTGGAACTCGGCTTTGGGGGCGGAAATGGCCGGAGTGGGAGGGGACGCCTGCGGTCGGACCCTGCCGTGTCACCGAGTTAGGTTCTCGCAGGAAGGGAAGGAGGAAGGTGCCCGGGGCCGCGCACGGACCCTCGCAGTGACCTCCGCGCGGCCTGGCAGCCCGGCACACCCTGCGTGGACGAGGTCCCTCCCAGGGGCCTCCCGGCGGGGGTCTCCGGGCCAGGGAGTGGGCACGTGGGTCCTGAACCCGCCCACGGCATCGTCGCCGTCCCGGAGTGAGCGGCAGCCCCGCAGCCGCTGGGCTTCCCAGAGACGCAGCGCCCGGCGTTTCGCGGGGAGGCGGCCGGCGCAGGGCTGGCCCCGCACGTCCCCAGGTGCGTACGGCACGGGCACGCACGCCACCGCCGATATCCCGGAGGGTCGGCGCCGCATTCGGGCGGCAGGCAGCGTGGGGTGGCGGGCGACGCACTCCGCCCGCGAGCACGCCTATTGTGCGGGGCCGCGGCCGGGCGCAGCGTCCGGGGGCAGGTGGGCAGCGAACTTTCACTCCACGCCCGCGAGCACTGCGCACCGCATCTGCCCTGGCCCCAGCGTCACCTCCCGGGAAGAAATGAAACCTAAGTTGGAAGACACACACTGCCCTTCACTTTTCTACAATTCCATCAGTGCCAACACCCGCGGTCTCTGCAGCCTCACCCCCGTCCCTCCCCCGCGAGTGGGCGCCTTCACCCGGACCCGAAAGGCGCCAGGGCGCGCGGCCCGCAGGACCGCAGCGGATGGAACCGCACGTTTCCATTGCCAGCTGCTGAGAAGCATAATCACACCGCTCCTCCTTCCTTCCCCTCCTGCAGGTTTCGACCGGAATCCGAGAGCGCCCCAAGGCTCGTTCTTCGCTGGACGTGTGGAGGGGCCGCCCCCCCCAGGCGGTCGTGTGCCCAACCGAGTCAAGATGCACAACTGCGATGGGAAAGCGCTTATGTTGCGCTGTCAGCGAATTTATAAGCAGTCGGTGTGTTGAGAGGCAGAAGCACTGCGGGGCAGCAAGGGGCCGGCCAGACTTCACCGTGCAGACACATGGGCGCGGGCGCGCGCGCGCGCTCACGCTCGCTCCAACCCAAATTACCTCCGGGATGGAGAAAGCCGCTGCGGATTGGCCAGCGGAGCCGTCACTCACGCCCAGGGGGCTGGGAGACTTTGTAAAGCTGTTTCCTTTTTTTCCCCCTCCTCTCCACCGTTGCATTTAATGGTAAAACAACAGCAGAGCTCTGAAAGTTAGCCATCTGCGCGGAGAGAGTTCGCCTTCCTTAACGAGGGAGGCGTCAGACGACACCATTTAAATACATTTTTACTTCCACCGCGATGAATAGGTAATGACCGGTCGGGGCGCGGGCGGAAAGGAGTCGGGGCGGCAGGAGGGTCTCTCCGAGGGTGGACGCGGCGTGGAGAGTTGTTCTCCACGCCCGAGAGGGGCTGTGACCTTTCACTGATCTCAAAATTAAAAAAAATATTTTCCAAAGGTCAGGTTGTAAACTCGCCCCTAATGTGCCAACCCATCACTTTAATTTTATTATTTAAGCATGCGCCAGCAATCGTGTTTCTCCTTAAGAAACAACTGACCTATTTCTGGCAGGAGATAAACGATCATGTTAACAGATGTTAATCTTGTAATCTGTTTTTCCTGTAAGCACTTTACCTACCCGGGGTTCAGACTTTAAAAATAACATCTTTTCCAAAAAGACCTGACGTCACAGCTCACTCCCTGAAAAAAAATCACACTCCCCCTCCAGTTTCTTCCTCGGCAGTGATTTCAAAGACATTAAATCTTTTTCGCTTTATAAATGCTGATTTGTTCTGCCTCAACTCCCACAGGCTTTTATTTGCATTTCAAATTCCACAGGTTACACCAGTCGCCTTTCCAAAAAAATGTAAACCAACAATGAAGCAGCAAATGGCTTTTTGTGCATCTGGATTAAATAAGGCGCAGGATGAATATACTTAAGAAGAGGGCAGCGCGAGTCGGTCTTTGCGCGCCGGAGCCCGCGCGCCCCTGCGTCACCAGCCCCGCGGAAGGAGTGACTGACGCTCGCAGCCCGGAGCTCGGGTCCGACCCGGCTGCTGCGGGAAGCCTGTTAGCGCCGATAATAAATGGGGCTGACTTACAGCCACATTTTTCGGGCAAAAGGCTGGTTCTCGCTGGCCCGTAACTGCAGGACCCACTGGTTTCCCAGCCCGCGCACACCACCGCACACCAGCCTCCCTCCATAAACCGCTGGTTTTAAATGCCCCAGTCGACTGGCTTTCGACAAACTTATCCATACAAACTTTCTTTAAAACTTGACGAGACGGTTTAATCTAAACACTGCTCCTAACTATTCAGTCCGTTCTCCCTGGAAATGGCAGAGCAGGCGCCTCCCATCCAGCTCCCCCCCCCCCCGCATTCTTCTTTTACACACCCGGGTGTACATCGCAATCAATACCTCCCGCCCCCAGCCCCACCCCCACCCGCCGGGGCATCTCCGAAGAGTCCCCGCCACCCCGACCCCCACTCCCCACCCCTCTCGGAGGCCCCGCGAGAGCCCTCGCCCCCCACCCCCACGCTGCCCCAACTTCCCCTCAAGAGCTTTCACTTCTTTAATGTTAGGGTCACTCCTAAGCTCCCAGCTGATAGCCAAGCAGCAGGGGAGGGGACAGTGAAAACAGCCCCCCCTCCCCAGGCAAACACGTCCCCAAGGCAGGAGCGCTCGGGGCCCGCAGGCTCCGACCCCGTCCGCCAAACCCTCCATAACTGACGCGGCTCCTCGGGGCCGCAGCGCCACCCCCATCACCCACCTTCATTAGCCGGAGCGGTTCACTTTAAAGTAAGGCAATTTGCTCTTTGTCTCTAATGGATGGAGAGCGCATCCGAGCTCCCCTCCTCCCGCGTCGCCTTTGACGAAGTGTACAAAGCCGGAGCCTCTTCCGCGCTCCCACCCCGGCCCCCACCCCGCCCCTCCACTGCGGTAAAAACCACCTCCCGGCGCTCGCCCCGCCGCCCGAAGTTGCATCTTCCCCTCTCCTGGAATTGCAGAGCCCAGCAACTACCGGCAGGGAAAGCCAAGTAGCCCTCGCCGCTCCCGGGGAGCCCCTCCCCGGCGCACCCCCTCCCCGGCGCCTCCCCCGGTCGGCGCACCCCGGGGTCCCAGGCTAGTCTAGGCCCCCGGCCCCGCGCCCTCCGCCCGCCGAGGGCCCTGCGGCGCACCACCCCGCCCTTCGCCCGGCCCCTACCTTGGCGGGGAGGTGGTGGGCCCGGGGAGGAGGACGCGCAGGCCCCGCGCATCTGAAGGTGAAGCCGAGCGCCCGCGACGCGGAGCCGAGCGCTGCACTAGACCGACCGCGCCAGCTGCGCCCGGGCGCGGGGGACGCGCGAGGGCGCGCGGGGCCCGCCACGCGCCCGGCCCCTCCCCGCCCCGCCTGCGCCGCCCGGACCGCGCCCGCCCGCGGGGGCCAGGCGCCGCCAGCACGGGTGCGCTGCGCGGGGAGGGGGCCGGGCGCCCGCGGCCGGGCGCAGGCCGGAGGCTTCCCCCAGCCCGGGAATGGTCTGCCCTGTAGGAAACGCACACGCTCCACTATTGTCTCATCAGCACAAAGTTCTGCCACACTGCGGGGAAAGTCTGGAGGCTTGCAGTGACTCAGACACAGATAATCCTTCCCCTAATAGCCCTGACTCAGTTCCAGCGGCCGGTGGTCGCCCCTTCTCCTCCAGGTCCGGGGCCGCCGCAGCTCCGGGTCCCGAGGCTGTTTACGCGCGCACACACACGCATCCAGACGTGCAGGCGTGCCCGGGATGCAGGTCCGGCCGCCGCAGGCACCTGGGCACCGAGCCTCGAATCGGGACTCGAACGTGGATGCCCCGCCGGGAGTCCCGGATGCGTGTGCGTTAACTCGGCGCGGTGTGCGACTTCCTGCTCCGCGTTTCTGGGGGTGTTCAGACAGAGTCAAGACCTTAAGTCCTGGACCAGGGATCAAAGGGGTCCCCCTGGAAAGACTTGGGAACAGCCACTCCGCCATATGGCCGCTTAAAGATGAATGTTGTTGTTGTTTACTTGTGTCCTTCAAAGTTCAACTCTCATTTTTCTGCTCTTAAAAACTTAATTTCTTCACCTCAACTACTCCCGTGGGCAGTAGTTAGTTGCAATAAATCGAGTGTAGGGACAGAAATCCTAATTTGACTCTAAAACGCTTTCGGGGTCCGTGGCAGGGAGGGGCTGGGGAGGGCAGGGGAGGGGCGGGACGGAGAGTTAGAGCCCAGCCCGCGGAGGAGCAGGGGGAGGAGGGCGAGGGGAGGGGGCGGGGCAGGTCGCCGCGAGGGGGGAGCGCGCCCCGGACTGGGCGGTGACGTAGGCCGGGCGCCGTGGGCCGCGGAGGGTACTGCGATCCGCTCCCACCAGGCTCCTGGCCATATTGTTCTCCGCGCCCCGCGAGAGCTCCGCAGCGGAGGGGCCGGGTCCGAGCGCCCCGCGTGGCCGAGCCTCGCCGGGGGCGCCGCAGGCCGGCGCGCACCTTCGCGGGGGCGTCTCCCCTGCCCGCGGCCGCTGGCCCCGACTCGACTCGTGGCGTTTACAAAAGAAACTACTCCGGGCGCGCCGCGCAGGGAGGTGCTTGTGCCCGCGCAAAGCTGGGCATCA